CTTTAAAACCCACCACTTCCTTATGAAAAGGAAGGTTAGAGAATATAATGTTCCTTGGAACAAGCATTAGGATTTAGCCAAGCCCTCTACTTTATCTCTTCAGATATTGATTGTCTGTCATTCCCTAAGGTATTAAACAAATAAAATCAAGCTATATCATATATATTTATTTTGTTTTTTTAAAAATATGTATTTATTTTTCTTTGATTGAGAGAAAGGCATGGTAATCTCATGCTTGTGAATTTGACTTCAGGGAATTCTCTGTTGCATGGATTTATCTGATACTGAATTGATAAAATGAACAACCAATTCTCCATTCATTTACTCTTTTTCATGAGTCCGTTGCCTCCTAACAACTTAGGAGTGGGCCAGCTCCTCTTACTTTGTTGCTGATCACCAAGATCCTGCTTTGGGTTTTAACCAAAGCAGGAAATGCATTTGAGGCCATACAAGAAAATTGGTTGGATTAACAATGTGCTGGGGAGGAACTCTGGTATTGGTAGTCTGGTGTGGGTTTCCAGAGGTCAGACAGCACATTTGCATGAGAAAGCAGAATCACTTGAACTATTAATATTTTGCATAGCTGTAATATTTTTGAGTGTTACAAGTTGGATTTCCAAAACCTCTTGCAGCATGGATGGAAAGGATATTAGATAAAACTTTATCACTCTAAATCAGGATTTCTCAACTGCAGAACAATTGACATTTGGGCCAGATCCTTCCTCTGTTGTGGGAACTGTTCTGTGCAATGCAGAATGTTTAGCAGCATCCCTGGCCTCTACCCACTAGATGCCAGTAGAACCTCCCTACCAGTTGTGAGAACCAAAAATGCCTTCCAATGTTGTCAAATGTCTGCTGGGGAGCAAAATCACCCAGTAGGAAACCACTACTTTGGGATGAAGAATAACAGTTTACTTATTGGATAGTTGTTCTTTTTTCTTTTCCTAATTGTTTTAGTTTGAGCATCTGGTGCACCCTCTCTAACCCTCCCTGCCCCAGACCCTTCAGACAAGGGCATTCCCAAATACTCTGAGAATAGGTGCTCTTACAGAGCACAAGGCCTTGTGGGATATTCTGGTGATTCTGAGAAAAAAAAAATGTGAGGCTTAGGAACTGAGTTCTGGATTAACCATTTCTAACCTTGTTGTTCTGGATGGATTTGGAAGGAATTTTAACATTTCCTTCTCTCCTGGTTTTCAACTATTCATTCAGTGATTTAAGTTAAAGGCAAAACAGCTTCCCAGTTTAATTTTGACTGTGAAATGCTAATCCATCTTTGTCCCAAATCTTTCTTCCTAACATTCAGCCCAAGCTATGTGCAGGCACGCTGTCCAGGAAACAGGCAGGGTTTGCCAGTCCCATATTCAATTTAAACTATTTGATGAAACCCTTAGGCACCAACTCCTGCAATCTACTGCAGCAAATACCATTCTGGATCCTGCCCACGTTTTCTGGATACTGCGCTGCTTCTCTGAGGGAGTCACCACTCACCAACCAGGCCAGGTTTTCCTGCCTGAGCCCAGAATAACTCAGCTGCTAAGAACACCTCGCCAGTCCTTTTGATTTCTCTCCATAGTCACGTTTTATGTTCAGTTTCCCAGACGGGATGAAGCAGAAATCATGCTTCTTTGGAAACAGATTTTTTTTCCATAGGAAGGAACTAAAACACCCTGACTCGTCAGCAGCCTCTGAACCCCCAGCCTTGTGTCATTTAGCTGAATCAGAGGACAACTTCCCAGTCACCTGCTTGGGGTGTTCACATCTCCTGGCTTGCATTTTTTTTTTTTTTTGACTGAATCACAGCAATCGTGAGCAGCAGCTAAAATAACAGGGCCATGAAAAATGGCCCCCTTTTCCAGGCCTGTCTCCTTGTTCCAGGAGTAGTGAGGAAAGAGACCAATTAATAGCCTGGATGGAAGCCGAAGGACATACGGTTTGCTTAAGAAGAAAAGTGAACATTCTTGCTTCCTGATCTATGCCAACTTTGTATGGGGACAGCTGCTGCCACGGGTAAACACCACTAACAGTACAGGGTTAGCCATGCCCCTAAGGTATGTGTCACCCACCGCAAGCCACAGGCCAGCACCGGGATGCAGGTCTCTCCCCCATGCACACAATTGAGCTCTTATCCTCAAACGAACTTTGTTTTTTGACCAGCTCGCTAATTGTGATTGAAAACACCAGCTCCCCAGCAATGCACAAGCATTGGAGTTAGCAGCAGCAAGACAGGCCCTAATTGCTCCATTTACATAAAAGTAGAAACATACAACTTCTAAATATAAATCTCTGGCACATCTTTCCTTTTGCAATTACAGTAAAATAAGGTACCAGTTTCCCTCCCGGCTCCTTCTCGCAGCAAGCTGCTCCACCGGGTTCGCTAGTGGCTGCTCTTCGAGGCGAGCACAGAGCCATGCAAATGCTCCAGCGTGGAGTTGGGAGCTTTGTGAAGTAGCCAGTAAATCAGACCGCCTCCGCTAGGTGAATAACGCGGTGGCAGCGGGCCACTCTGCTAGTGCAGTAGCTGCTAGGACCGAACTCCACACTGAGAAAGGGGCCAGTTTGCGGGTGCGGGTGCGTGAGCGCTCCCCAGCTCGCCTCTGTCCGCTGGGGAGCCCGCCGGCCCCACTGCAGGTCTTGGTCCCTGACATTTGCTGTGGTTACAGTCCCTGGCACTGAGGGCTGGGTTCAGAGATTCCCAGCTGCACTCACTGAACAGTGATTTTTTTTTTTCCTCCCTGAATTCTTTAGCTGCCAAAAGGGGGGAAAAATCAAGAGCTGCTCTTAAAAGAAGTTGCCCTTGCTGGTGCTCAGGGTAAAAATAGAGGCGGCCGCTTGGAACGGCTTGGCCCTGACTCCAGGCATCCCGCGAGCTGGGCTCGAGCAGCGCGTTCCGGCGTGATCCCTGGAAGCTGCCAGCAGGTGTTGCTCAAGGTACAGTAGCAGGGCCGAGAAGCCGGGACCCGAAGGGCCTGGGGTGTGGGGAAACTCTGGGGGAGGGGGCAGGAAGTGAAAGAGAAACCAAACCGAGGAAGGAAAAAGGAGATTCTTGTCAGGAGCTGAGCTGACCAGCTCATGCCCTGGGCCCTTGAGTTTGGCAGGGAAAAGCTAATTCCTAGTCCAGAATATTCCACAGAARCTATTTTAACCTGCCTGCTTCCACTACCACCCCCACCTTGATTTGTACTGAGTGAGGAGGCTTTTCCACTGTGGTTTAGCTCTGAGGTTGGGGATCCAGGTAGAGAATGACATCAGAGCTGCTAGGTGGCATTAGATGGCCAAGGTGGTTTCAGAGCCACATATATGGCATGGCCCCAGGAGTCCAGGGTCCTGTGACACAGATGTTTCAAATGAACCTCCACACTTATTATTTTCTGAGCACTGGGCTTGACCCTGCAGTTTAGTAGTATGAATCCCATTACATAGATGGGAACGCTAAGGCCTGAGTTTACCTGATGAGGGAGCATTGGAACTGCAGTCTGATCTGGGTTCCTCTGGGGCCCCCACACTATTTTGGGGGGAGGTATAGTGGTACTTAGCACAACAGGATTCATGCATTCGCCAGGGGGTGAGCTTAGATGCACTGGATGCCATTGGTCTCCACTCAGTATCACCTCCCCCTCCCCCCAAAATGGGGAAGTTCCTTTCTTATAAGGGGTTTCAGTTCATCCCACTCTACACTGAAGGGCAGACGTGGAATTCATCATCATTGATCCTGTTTCTGTCATTGCCACTCAGATCCCCTCTCTTCCTCTACAACCGAATGACTTTATTTCCTACTTCAGTTCTGCATATGCAGTTCTTAGAATACTTTTCTCCCCTCCTCCTCCACATACAGCTAGCACCCACACTTTCTCTGTATCTAGCCAAGAGAGACCCTCTCACACAGAAAACTCCTGGTGTCCTAAAGGAACCTACTTCAGACACACATCAGGAGGCCAGAGCCTCTATATTTTGCTTGTGGGCACAGTGAAAAGTTTATTTTATGCATGTTAAATCCTGCATACAAAACAACATATCAGGTCATATGGCTTTCATTAGCTCCCAATTTTGCACATTTTATCCAACTTGTCATGGGAACCCTGCTTGTGCTTCAGTTATACTCCTTCAAACAACCCTTCTCCATCAGACTTGTCTGAGAATTCCCCCCTCCTGTGTTATTTTTGAGACTTGCCAGTGCCCTTCCTCCCAAACCTAACTTTACCCCTGTTTCAAGGAGCATTTGCCTCTTTTCATTAATCTCATTTTATATTTGTAACAATTTAGAAATCATAGGACTTGAAGTTCTGGTTAAAAAAAAAAAAATAGATGTGTGATTTTTTTTTTCCCCTAGTTAGAATGGGATTCTGAAGACCTGGGAAGGATACTTATGAAGTTCATTTGCAGAGAATGAATATTTCCCAAGTTCTTGGTGATAAATGATTTATGAAGCAGGCATTCAATTTCAAGATGTAAAATAATAGTGCGGGTCAGGAGAGGCAAGACCATCATCGTATGGGTATACATATTTTCCCTCAATGAAATAGCTATTTAAAAAAAATTAAATTAGAATACCTATAAAGAACACTGTGAATTTTCTTCCTGTAAAAGACAATAAAATACTCTGTAAATAGAAACAACCTCACAAAGTAACAGATGTTTTATGTAAAGACATAAAACTGAACCTGAATATAACGAGACGTGTGTGTATGAGTAGTAAAAGTTGAAAGTTGGACATTCATTGAGATCTATTTAATTCCAATATTTTTGTAAAAGGTAGACTAGTCACAGCCAGAGGTTTCACTGGCTCAGTGCATCACCCTAGTAGTGTCTCAGAAGCCAAGAGGGATTTCCATTAGATAATGAATTATGAAATGTCTCACACTGGAAAAAMCAGTCATCTGCTGATGTCATTCTGATTCTAACCAATCCCAAACAAAGCCCCAGCCCTCCTCTGTTCGAGTGGTACCAATGTGTGAGTGTACAAATAAGTAGTACAGTATAAAACTTCACAGTGCCAATACCATGAAGAGGAACTCAGACAGCTCTTACCACATGATACAAGAGCCGGCTGGTGAGAGAGAAGGGACCAGAAAGGTAATGCTTTTTCCTTCTTACTTATGAGCTCTTTGCACATTCTGAATCAGAATGGATAGGAAGAATTTTACAACTTATTGGCACTTCCCTGGGCATTGTAATTTGTACCTTTTTAAATTTTTTTTTCTATTCAAGCAGGTTAATACAGCTTTTAACAGTCCTAGAGCATGCAAATAGATTATGTGTTTATACAACCCACTCAGCACATATATACAAGTACATATGCCAAAGAGAAAGCTATTTTTAAGAGTTACATTTGCAAACAGTAAATTCAGGGAACACACACATACTCACATGCAGAGAGAATCCAAATATTGATAAGTTGCACTTATCTAAATGCTACTATTAGGTCTCTTGAGTTGTTTGGAGTCATTAAACTTTTAGTTCTATTTCAGACTCTCTTGTAAAACTTAATTGGGCTGCAACAGGCTTTGGGTACTGTATCTGTGACCCCAAATAGGTGGGCAATGTTAAATATTAGACTACAATGATGTTTTATTAAACCATTATAATGCAAATACCCCCTCTTCCCTCATCTTTTCACCATCTCCTGCTAAAAAACATGAGACTTCTAGGTAATGTGGACAAAGTCTTATCCCCAATAGCAGAGCAATTAATGTTCCTGGAGCTGAAACCCCAAAGATGTTAGAGAGCCTACTACAGAGAAAGTCTTGCAAATAGTTGTTTTTGAAAAGGGGACAGCCTATGCAATTCAGAAAAGCACTGTTACCTCTGCAAACTGTAATTTTAACTTAGTGTCACAATTTTATCGTTATCTCTCCCTTGTACTCAGATCTTATGTGTGTAGTAATACTTATTAACTCTTTTCCGGCCAAGCTACCTTGCTTGACTAGAATGCTCTGAACACACTAGGTGTCAGATATAAGCTGACTGTATCTACAGAAACCAAGAGGGCTTATGTGTGGGAAAGAAACCGAGAAGGAAGGAAAGCTTTAACAGATGGACCCCTTAAAGATACTTCTGCAAGATAAAAGCAATAAGACAGAAAATGAAAAAAAAGGAGTTGGGGGGGTAAAAAAAAAGCCTCAGAAAGGCATTGTTTAAACATGCACATTTTTCTTTTTCTGTGAGCACTAAAATCCATGATGATTTCATCTAGGCTGTTCCTTTGAGGGAAAAGGGAGCAGTGGAGGAGTCTCTTCATGAATGTACTGGTCAGGACTGGGCAGGGGACAAGCTGAAAAAACTATCACATGACAGAGAAAAATAATTTGCCAATATATTTTAGAGATTCTTTCCCCATAGGGCCAGTTATTCACGTCATACGAGTACACTCTTTTTATGAAAGAATGTGGGAAAGGCCAAATGAATTTTGTGTTTTATCTGTGAAGTCGGGGCAAGGGGTGGTAGGCTGTAATTTGTGAAAGGGGGCAGCGAGAGAGAGGAGAGAGAAAAGTGCTTCCTAGAACTTAGACATGTTAAGTGCTGTCTGTCCTTTGGCTCTTTCTGTGCCCTGCTACATTGCCCAGTTGGGAAAAGTAAAGTATGTTCTGTGGCCCCAAACAAAAGTTCTGTTGCGCTCCCTCTGATCCCCAGCCTGGGGTTGAAGACCCTGAACATTTAAATATGAATGAATGGGGGAAAAGGAGCCACTCTGGATTCCCTGGGGCAGAGCACACAGTAGCACGCCCCTGGGCCCCTCTCCCCTGACCTCTGCTACCTGTCAGCCCCACCTCAGCCAGGTGGGTGGGTCATCACCCAGGGCAGTGGAGGGGGAGTGGAGGGGCTGCTGGGGCAGACTTTTCCAATCAAACTATCCCTGTGGATTGAGATAGTGCCTTTGGTTGGGTTTTATTTTTCCCCCTCCAAAAAAGGAAGAAGGTGAAGCAAGGGGACTAGGCTGAGAAAGAAAGAAAAAAAAAAAAAA